TGGGAATGGTGATCCATGTCTAGCTGTTCTTATCTAAGGCTAGAGCAGTATCTGGGAAGCAGTGCTGGGATTCTCTGAAAGGGTCATAGCTTCTCTGGATCATGCTTGGTCAACTATTTGGGAATGCAATTTCAGGAACAGGAGGATATGATTATGAGGTGCCCCAACATTCTTCTCCTTTCCCCTCTTCCAGAGCATGTAAGTTGAGTGTACAGAGCTTCAGAAAAATTGCTGTGACATTTATTTGAAATTTAATGCTATTTCTAGGCTGGTGAGTGAATGAAAGTTGCTCAGTCATGTCCGACTCTGTGTGACCTCGTGGACTATACAGTCCATGGAATTCTCCAGGCCAGAATACTGGAGTCTGTAGCCTTTCCCTTCTCCAGGGGGTCTTCCCAACCCAGGGAGTGAACCCAGGTCTCCCACATTGCAGGCAGATTCTTTACTAGCCTTGCCACAAGGAAAACCCTCTAGGCTACGTATTTCTGGTACAAGAAGAATCTTTAAACAATCCTCAAGGAATTTTGATAAAACAGTAACATCCACTGGAATGTAAGCTCCATGGGGGTATTTTTGGAGATAATAGATCCTTAATATATTTTGTTGATTGCATTAAAGAAGTAAATTTATTGAGTGCTCACTATATGCCCAAACATGTGACCAGGCATGGAGCTAAGCATTTAATATATTTCATTGGCACAGTGACACTATGAAGTAGGTCCTATATTAGCCCCATTTAGCTGACAAGGAAACTGAGGCTTAGAGAAATTAAGACTCACCCTGACCACGTTTGCAAGTGCTAGCCTAGTGTTCAGACCTAGGCATGACTCCACACAAAGCATCTTTGCCCACAGAGTGCCAAGGTTGGAGAGATATCATTTATGGAGGAGGGTGGTAGAATGTTAACATATACTATGCTTTTCACTGGATCATTTTCTGATCCTATGACTTGAAAATTTGTAGCTTGATAAGTATTATGCACTTGAACAAGATCAGATTGCTGATCTGTGAAACTTTTTGCCCTATAAAACTGTTATTTAATACTTTCACATATTTTCATCTCAACTGTGTGCTGTAAATATCTCAGAATATGTGGTTTTCAAAAAGTAGCTTCAGAAACATTAATATTCTGAGTACAGGACATGCTTTGGTTCTCCAGACATGCCTGGCATCACAGTTTTACCTGGACCCTGAGGTCATCCAGAGGACGTTTTCATAGAAAATGGGGACCAGGGAGAGGATATTTCTCACCTAAGACCTGTGAGGACCAAAACGCACAGTGGAAAAGAACAATGAAGACAGTGGCCACTGAAATCATTGAACTAGATTAGCCGGGCTCTGCCAGATATTAAACCTTTACACTGTCAGAGTGAACTCCTGGCTGGAAATCTGAAGGGACAATTTGAGAAAATTCAAGTTCCCCAAAACGAATTTGCCGCTTTCAGCCATGACAAATCACCACAGTATTCAACAAGTCCAGTGATTACTGCGTTAGAGGACATAACCAGCATTGTTACTCCAAGTTAATATCCGAGGCTAAATATTCATTTACATCATTAGTGTTAGGAAACGCAGCCAGAAAATATTCAGGAGCCCGCTCTGTTGGCCGAGTCAGCCTGAAAGGAATCGCGTCCTGTCAAGGGCTGAACTGAAGGCTGGGTCTTTGTGTGATTGGCATCGGTTCCAGTCCCGCCAGCAGACACACAATTCCCCGTTGTCCCTGTGATCCACGCTTCACCTTGCCTGTGGGGCAAGCGTGGTTTGATGTGACCTCTTTGAAGACTCAATGCTGTGCCTCACCCTGTTGTTCAGAGGAGGCTGGCAAGCCCGGGGACCACGGGAACGGGGACAGCAGTCACCCTCATTCTCCCGCGCTCGGTCACATAGTCAGTAGGTCACACGTACTAATGATCATTTAATAAGCATAGCCGTCTGACGGCAGATGACAACGTTTGATTTTGCCATGGGGGTCTGAGATCTGGAAGCCAAGAAGTTTCTGTGTCATTGTGTCAGGAGTTTGCGGAGAATTAAACAAAATTAGATACAGCTACTTTCCTTTCTTATGAAATTTTCTCTTATTGAGAACAAATATATACTGTCTCCCCTGATGACAAAATGGCTGTTTTACAAGCTTATGGTATAAACTGTTTTAAATTCAAAGTAGCAATAGAAAAAAAAATTCAGTGACAACCACAATGAATATTTTGGTACATCTCTCTCTCTTTTTGTTTTTTCCAGAGAGATCCTATAATAACTGTGATTTTTATTATTTTTAATTACTTTTTTCTATTATTTTTTATTGGGGTATAGCCACTCCACAATGTTGTGTTAGCTTCCACTGCATAACAAAGTGACTCAGTCACATGAATATATATATACGTGTGTACATATATATATACACACGTATATATATGTATATATACTCCCTCTCGGGCACCCCGTCTTCTTCCATGCGTAATCCCATCCATCTAGGTCACCAGAGAGTTGTTGTTTAGTCGCTAAGTTGTGTCTGGCTCTTTTGCAACCCCATGGACTGTAGCCTGCTAGGCTTCTCCATCCATGGGATTTTCCAGGCAAGAATACTGGAGTTGGTTGCCATTTCCTTCTCTACGGAATCTTTCTGACCCAGAGGTGGAACCTGTATCTCCTGCAATGCAGGCAGATTCTTTGCTACTGAGTCATCAGTGCTTCCCATTTATAATTTAAGTGTTAAGTCCATTTTATAAAACAAGTTGATCTCATACTAGACACACTTTTGGTATCAGGTTTTTTTCCACTTTGTATGCTGTAAATATTTTATTGCCTTTAAAAAAAAGAATTCACTGGAGTATAGATGATTTACAATGTTGAGTTAGTTTTAGGTGTGCAGAAAAGTGAATCTGTTCCACCCACACACAGATTCACTCTCATTTAGATACTTTTTCCATCCAGGCCATTACACGGTACTGAGCTGCACAGTAGGTCCTTATTAGTTTTGATAAATAATCATCTCTTACCTAGTTGTTTCTTTTTTTTTGTGGCTGTTTGGTATTCCGTGATGCAGATGGACTTTTCATACACAGGGTGTGGAGGAAAGACAGAGGTTTAAACCATAGCTCTGTGAGGGCCTCAGTTTCCTCAGTTGTAAAATGGGAGTACAAATATTTGCCTGGCAGCCTTGGAGGGTTGTCATGACAGTTTAAGTGAGTTTCTGTGAAGCCTAGAACATGCTAAGCTCATAAAGAATTCTTGTTTATAGATATGTTTATGGAACACTTGGGTAGCATTTCAGAGACAGACCATAACACTGGAGTCTGTCTTCATTCTTTGGTCTTAACCCATCAAACATCAGAACCCAAGTTATGTCAAAACTATAATCCCTCAATTCTTCCTAACGCAGATTTTAAAGTTTTGGGTAAAATAAAACTTCTAAAGAATCACCACACACTTTTATGAAGTTGTCTTCTTTTCAACAAAGAACTGGTGTGACTGACTCGGCTTTCCTTTGCAGGTCCTGCTAGGGCTTTAGCCTTCAAACAGAATCACTGATGGGCTTTGATGTGAAGTGAAAGTCGCTCAGTCCTGTCCGATCTGCGACCCCATGGCCTTTGCAGTCCATGGAATTCTCCAGGCCAGAATATTGGAGTGGGTAGCCTTTCCCTTCTCCAGGGGATCTTCCCAACCCAGGGATCAAACCCAGGTCTCCCACACTGCAGGTGGATTCTTTACCATCTGAGCCACCAGGGAAGCCCAAGAATCCTGGAGTGGGTAGCTTATCCCTTCTCCAGGGATCTTCCCAATTCAGGAATTGAACCAGGGTCTCCTGCATTGCAGGTGGATTCTTTACCAGCTGAGCTACCAGGGAAGCCGTGGACTTGGATACTGGGTGGGAATTCAGAGGAGCCTCTCAGGGTCCAGGAATTAAAACGTTTTGATGAATACTAATTTTTAGTAGTTCCCCAGTTAATACTCTTTTACTTAAAATAGAGAGATAAGAACTTGCCACTCAAACCACTGAAATCATGCGTGTGTGCGTGCCCAGTCACTTCGGTGTGATGGACTCTCTGTGACCCTGTGCGCTGTAGCCCACCAGGCTCCTGTGTCCATGGGGTTCTCCAGCGTTGCCATGCCCTCCTCCAGGGGATCTTCCCGACCCAGAGATGGAACCCACATCTTCTACGTCTCCTGCATTGGAAGGCGGGTTCTTTGCCACTAGTGCCTCCTGGGAAGCCCAATGAAATCCAGATCCTTCCGTATTTCTGGTTCCAGAACCCAACTCTGCTTTCCTTTGACAATAGAAAACCCTGTTTAGACCAACTCCTCCCAAGATGAGCAGCCCTTGACTGTGCATGTCCTGCTGCTACAGAGGGCCCTCCTGGGTTATCCTAACCTCCTGACAAGAGGGTGGGGCTGGCAAGGAGTTGTGCTCTCCTTCCTACAATGTGCAGAGAAGGAAATGGCAACCCACACCAGTATCCTTGCCTGGAGAATTCCAGGAACAGAGGAGCCTGGGAAGGCTACAGCCCATGGGGTCGCAAAGAGTTAGAGCAACTATTGCACACTCGCTCACTCCTACAATGTGCAAAGTGTTAGGTCTCATGTTGATCACCACATGAGGTGGGGTGAGGCAGGGTTTATTTTTTAAAAAAAGGAAAACTAAAAGAATTCAACTTCTTTACCTTGATTGCTGCCCAGACTAAAGGTTAGCCACTGCACCGCTTTTCAGAGAAACTCTCTGATGGGGAATAAACCTCTGATCAACTTGTATTGCTGAGAGAGGGATGGTTTTAGGAAGAGGTTATACACATCCTTCCTCTTGGAGAAAATGGACTTGGCGGATTGCGCCTCTTTATTGATATAGTTTTCTCTCCCCTTTTCTTTTCCTTTTCGAAATAAGTCCCCTGGAATGGTCGGGTGATGTGGGAAAATATTGTGACACTCAGGCCTGTTTACATTTGCGGGGGGTGGGGTGGGGGGCGGCTGTTTTGTTTGCCTCGCCGGCCGCTGGGCCCCTCCTTTTCATGGTCGGCGGTCCCCCGACAGCTCGGATTCCTCCGCTGACATCTGCGATAATGAGAGCCCTGACGGGAATAGATTTGCAAAATGATGGGCCCACAATAGGACGGCGCTGTCCCCCAAACTTCGCCGGAGATAAGCAGATGGGGTCTGAAAACAGAGCGTTTGAACCGATTAGGTCGAGGTGACCGCCTTTATTCAGCGCACACTGGAGCGCTATTCGCGCCGGACTCCCCCCCTCCCCAATCCCGACTTCCCTGCCGACCCCTCTTCTCCCCCCAGCACTTGCCTCCCCTGGTTTGGAGCGGGGAAGGCCGCCGATGGCCGCCTTTCTCTGCCTCCCGCGCACTCGCCTGGAGCCCGGCCCTTCCCGTCCCCAAGCGGAAGCCTGCTGGGCACCCACCTCGTGCCAACCGACTGAACGACAGAGAAAAGCCACCCCGCACGCCGCATAAAGAGAAGCCGGGGCAACACATGGGGCTTTCCCACTCGGCACAAATGATGGCTGTTTGTGCTAGTTAACCTTTTTCGGAGCCCGGGTCGCCCCTGCTGGGAGGCCGGGCCAGGCTGCAGGGAGCGCAAAGCCTGGCAGAGCCGGCGTCGCCAGCGCGCCCGCCCGGGGCCCAGCACGCGCCGCCGCCGCCGAATACCAAAGCCCGGCCCGCTCTCCATAAGTCAGCCGGCCCAGGTGCTGCTGACAGCTTGGATTCCAGAAGAGAGGGGCCCCCAGGAAAACTCCGCGCACAGCTCCTGGTGACCCGGATTGCCTGGCACGGTTTACCTCCCGAAGCCCTGAAAAGGAGGACATGGAAAGGTTCCCACCCCGGGCTTTATAATGCGCTCTGTCTCCTCCACTAGCTGTGTCAGAGGCAACCTCCTTTGTACTTTGGAAGCCTAGAGTCAGGTCGTTAATACACTTTTTCTTTAAGCTGTATATTTGTATTTTAAAAAACTTTTTAATCTTGTATTGGAATACAGAGAGTTAACAATATTATGATAGTTTCAGGTGAATAGCAAATGGACTTAACCATACATATACATTCTCTTCTAATTTCCCCTTCCGGTCCAAGTCCCTGGGCTGCTGGTTATCCGTTTTAAGTGTAGTAGTGTGTACACGCCCACCCCAAACTCCCTGACTCTCCCTTCCTTCCACCGTCCTGGCCCCTCAACTGTAAGTTCGGTTCTCTAACTCTGTGAGTCTGCTTCTGTTGTGTAATTTCATGCGCATTATTTCTTTTTGGTTTCCACATTATCTCTGTGCTCATACTACCCTGAACACTCTACTAATACACTTTTTAGTAACTTGTGCCTGGAGCTAATTGACTGAAGCAAAACCAAGAGAGGGTGATTGTACAAATCTGTTTCTAAGACCCATTCTCTGGGTCTCTGGGGAGAATTTTGACGGTGTCGGAGCTGTAATGCTAGCTAAGGAAGAATGAGGACAAAAGGTGATCCTTTTGTGAAGGAAATTTTTGGAAATAGCTTTTCAGGGGAAAGTGGGGGGAAGCAGAAGTTTAAAACCAATGGGAGTTCCATGCCCAGGTGGAGGGGTGGTATTGCCACAACACTGAAATAGCCAAACATAGTAAAAGGAATCAGATTTCTGCAAATTGCAGAAACTAATTGAACTAATCAGTGGAAATGCATTTATTCCAGCTGCCAGGATTCTGAAGAGTGGGACTCCTACCCTCCACTACACTCCAGAGAACAGTCTGTAGAGCTCATGGCCTCAAACCCCCTATCCCTGACTATCTACTGCTGCCAGCCCAGACCTGTGGGGTTTTGTGCTAACTCAGTGCAGTTCGTTTATGAGGTGGTATTGTTCAGAATGGGGTGTTCACCTGGCAATGACTTTCCTGAGAACGGAGGGTTTGCTCAGGCACAGTTGAGATAGTTCATTAACCAGGAAAGCCATCACAGCTTTTCCACAAATAGGTCAACAAACTCTAGCAATACAGATATCACATTCTGAGGAAAACCACCTCAGAAACAAAACCTTTGTTTATCAAAAGAAATCATAAAGGATTCACTAAAACATAATATTTTTGGCCACCAGTAGTGGTAAAGAGAAGAGGGAAATAAGAGGATGTAAAGGTTGGGACCTTGAGCTACTGTTTATTGGGAATGTCTGAGATGAAATAAAGGTTAAGGACATCAATCATCTCTATTTTTTAAGTCCCATCCTTCATGGAAGCTCTCACATACTTGGAGGATGGGCATTTATTGATTTTTGTAAAACCATAGGATGAAATACTAAATTTAGTCTGCAGTGGTGCTTTTTTTAAGGTGCAAGCTCTCATAATCCTTTAGAAACATAAATGGTTGAACGAACATTTAGTTTTAGGTTCACAACATTTGAATTTTGTCTCTGCTAGTCATTGGTTGTGTGATTTTGAACACATTTGTTACCTTCAGTGAGTCTTGGTGCTATGGACTAAATGTTGTGTCCCCCTAACATTCATATAATTGAAGACCTAACCCCTGTGCAATAGTAATTGGAGATGGAGCCTTTAGGAGGTAATAACGTCATGAGGGTGGAGCCCTTAAGAATGGAATTAGTGCCCTTAGAAGAAGAGACATGACAGAGATGACCTCACCCTCCACCCATGTGAGAATACAGCAAGAAGGTGACTGTTCCAAGCCAGGAAGCCAGAGTAGCTTAAATATACCTAAAAAAAGTAAACTGTGTTTTATTTTGCCTGAGGGTTATATTACTTCTTTTCAAAGGTATCTTGGTAATTCTATTTTATTGTTGTTCTGTTGTTGTTCAGTCACTAAGTTGCAACCCCATGGACTGCAGCACACCAGGCTCTCCTGTCCTTCATATCTCCCAGAGTTTGCTCAAATTCATGTCTATTGAGTCAATGATGCTGCCTGACCATCTCAACCTCTGCCACCCCTTTCTCCGTTTGCCTTCAGTCTTTCCCAGCATGAGGGTCTTTTCCAATGAGTTGGTTCTTTGCATCAGATGGCCAGAGTATTGAAGCTTTAGCTAAGAATACTATTATGAATTCTTTATTGTTCTTTGTTGAGGACTAAAAGATGTAAATTGGAAAGTTCTGCGTGATTGAATAATAAAACACACTAGGCTTCTTGCGAATAGCATAGCTAGTTAAGAGAGCAGTCTCTGAAGTTAGACTGCCAGGGCCACATGTCCAGTTCTGCTTCTTATTGGCTGTTTAATATTGAGAAATTAATTAACTGATGTTTCAGTTTCCTCATTTGTAAAGTGGTAACAATAACAGCACTTACCTGGTGGGGTTGTTATGAAGATAAACTGAGTTAGTATACAAGAAATGCATAGACCAGTGCCAAGATTGATCTCCTGTTTTCTCCATCATAATGATGATGATGATGATCATCATCATGGTCACATTTTGTAGTGGAATGTTTCCATGCATTAAGATAAATTCCTGCGGATTCTTTACTGTCTGAGCCACTAGGAAAGCCCTAAGGTAAATTCCTAGAGGAGCTGAATTGCTGAGTCAGAGCATTTCCCACACAGCTCCTTTGAGACTCAAGTTCAGTTCAGTTCAGTTGCTCAGTTGTGTCCACCTTTTTGCAACCCCATGAACCGCAGCACGCCAGGCCTCCCTGTCCATCACCAACTCCCGGAGTCCACCCAAACCCATGTCCATTGAGTTGGCGATGCCATCCAGCCATCTCATCCTCTGTCGTCCCCTTCTCCTCCTGCCCTCAATCTTTCCCAGCATCAGGGTCTTTTCCAATGAGTCAGCTCTTCACATCAGGTGGCCAAACTATTGGAATTTCAGCTTCAACATCAGAATTCCAATGAACACCCAGGACTGATCTCCTTTAGGATGGACTGGTTGGATGTCCTTGCAGTCCAAGGGACTCTCAAGAGTCTTCTCCAACACCACAGTTCAAAAGCATCAATTCTTTGGTGCTCAGCTTTCTTTATAGTCCAACTCTGACATCTGTACATGAGTCCTGGAAAAACCATAACCTTGACTAGATGGACCTTTGTTGGCAAATTAATGTCTCTGCTTTTTAATATGCTGTCTAGGTTGGTCATAACTTTCCTTCCAAGGAGTAAGTATCTTTTAATTTCATGGCTGCAATCACCATCTGCAGTGATTTTGGAGACCAGAAAAATAAACTCAGCCACTGTTTCCACTGTTTCCCCATCTATTTGCCATGAAGTTATGGGACTGGATGCCATGATCTTAGTTTTCTTAATGTTGAGTTTTAAGCCAACTTTTTCACTCTCCTCTTTCACTTTCATCAAGAAGCTTTTTAGTTCCTCTTCATTTTCTGCCATCAGGGTGGTGTCATCTGCATATCTGAGGTTATTGATATTTCTCCTGGCAATCTTGATTCCAGCTTGTGCTTCCTCCAGCCCAGAGTTTCTCATGATGTTCTCTGCATATAAGTTAAATAAGCAGGGTGACAATAACCCCATCTGATAGGTCCAGTAGTAAATTTGGCAGCTGGGCTAGGTGTGTTTTGTCATTAGCCTTTCTTGGACACCGGAAGAGTCAATGCTGATCAAAACCAGATGCAGGTACTGCAATGGTGAGCTTCTCCAGTCACAGTGACAACATAAGTGTCCCTGAGAACATTTCCTGGAGGTGTCTTGTGGGTCTCTTGGCACTTAGCTCACCCACATCCTGTCTATTGATGGATCTGGGAACAGTTCTGTTCATTATGCCCCTAAGCAGCCATTCATCATGAGACACCCTGTCAGGGAGTGATCACAGCCACTGTGACAAATAAATGTACTTAGCGAGTTATATGGTTCAAATAAATCAAAGTTGATTTGGTCTGGTCTCACTGTGTTACTGGGCTGACAGTAAGTGGCAAGGTTGATGACCATCTGAGTTTGCTAGGTTTGTTCACCAGTAGCATTTTAAGGGGAGCAAGTGTCCAGGGTTAGCTGTCTCTTGGTGTGAATGGGGAAGCGTGCCTGGGGGAGCAGCGAGTGAAGCGTGTCTCCCTCATTTGGGCACATTGGGAAATGTGACTGGGCATGTCTCTCTTGCCCCCACTCTGTGCCCCAAGGAAGCATGGCTGGACCCGAGGGACCCTGTTCTCGCCCACTTTTTGGTTCCTCCCTGTAGACCCAAGCTCTCCTCACAGACGGAAAGAAGGAGTGGGGGTGGTGGGAGAGACTCAAATCACTGGCTGATTTCCTGTTTGATCTTCCTTTGCAGGTGAGCTAAA